CCGCTTGATGAAAAATGCTCCACCTGGTTCAAAGGGAGCTTGTAATGATAATGGATGGAGTAATGAAGATATTTTTGTGGACTGGATGAACATTCTATAGGTCATATAAGGCTCTCAGCCTTATATGATCTAAGAAAATGGAATTGATGTGACATCAGTACCGCCACATACATCTCACGAGATACAGCCGCTCGATTTAGTTTTCTTCGGACCATTGAAAACATCTTTCAATAATCAGTGTGATTATTGGATGAATAGCAATTGTGGACAACGAATATAAGTGTTTCAAATTGCAGAGCTGTTCGGTCAAGCTTATCAAAAAGTTGCCACTGTGGATAAAGGAGTTGAAGGTTTTCAAAGCGCTGGTTTTTATCCTTTTCAACCCACTGTTTTCAATGAAGAAGATTTCGCCCCAGCAAATACACTGATGAAAGCTTCTGTTAATGTAACAATAAGTAATGTGACTGAAGCAAAAAACCATTGATGAACAGGAACAGGGTGCTACACCCTGTAGATCAACCTCCACTGCATCAAGTAGAGAACTGCAAAATAATACAACTCCACCAAAAATGGCAACAATGAATATGTATCATAATGACGCTTTTAGTTTGCCAAAACCACAACCAACTAGTGATGAAAAAATAAATGTTAGAAAAAAACACTCAGAAATTTCAAGTTCCACTCCTATGAGGCAGGAATTAGTACAGGAACAAGCAAAAACTAAATCAAAGAAACGAACAAAAAAGGCAGTGAAATTTTATTCAGTTTTCTGATGACGAAGTTGTAAATGAGAATGCCTTCTGACTTTGATGCAGTTACCGAAGTTCCAAAGAAGCACGATTACATGTTAGTGGAGATCAAAACAAAATTCGCGAAAACAATATTATTTAATACGTTGGAAAAATCTTGACTTACAAAGATGAAAACGATGAATTTGAAATTATTAAAATGCATAATACATTCATTTTACCGAATGTATAAGACATTGCACTCATTCCACTAAATAATATTAATATGAAATTACCAGAATGAATTCCACTAGCCGTTTTTATTTTGTGAATCAAAATATGTATCCTATAATGATAACATTGAAGCCATTTTTGTACATAACAGAAAATACTGGAACGTTATATAATTGCAGTGGCAAAAAAATGTGTTCGATTTGATAAAACAGCATTATCATGAGTAATCAAGTTGCTTCGAAACTTTGTTGAAATACTATTCATCAAATATTCTCAAGTATATCATGAAAATGTCATAAATTATTATCAACTACTATTCAAATATTTTTCGAAATACCGTTTTCCCATCAAGGGAAATGTAATATTTCAGAATTCTACTTAGTTTGCCAGAAAAATAGCGTAAGAGTACTCCAACACTACAGCAATTCGTTCCCCGATCGTGAATTACCTAATTGGCGTTTTTTTTGTTGTGTTATTGTTGAGAAGGAGATAATTAAAAAACGTTTTGTATTATCTGAAGATACAGAAATTGACGTTTTAGCCTACTTTGAGGTAAATCCAAATAATTCCATCAGAGTTTTATCTAGAGAAATAGCTGTTTCACCGTCTGTAATTCAACGACTTCCGAAGAAACATAAGATTTCTCTTCATAAGTTAAGACCAGTAACCCTGAGAGACGATTGGGGTTTTGTTGGTTGTTTATGAATAAATACAGACATCTTTTATAGAAATATTATATGGAGCGATAAGGCTAATTTTTCAAATTGTGGGATGTATAATAGAAAAAATGTTCATCATTAGAGTGGACAATCCAGTCCTAGTCCATTCCCACAATCAGCAAAGAAGATTTAGTATCACTGTTTTGTATGGTCTATTTAAAGGCAGAATTATCAGTCCATTTTTCTACCATAGTTCTCTAAACGAACCCCGTTAAATTAATTTATTAAAAAGAGTGATTTGGAGGCTCGTTAGATGATCTATTTTCATCACATAACTTCAGTGGCGGAAAAAGAATGTTTCGAGACTGTTTTGGGAACAGACGGATTGCTACAAATAGTCCTGTTAAACGGCATCCTTGTTCATCAGACATGACACCTCTGGATTTTTATTTTTGGGGATTTCTGCATAATGAGGTGTAGAAAAAACATAATAATGTAGATATTTACTCGATATTTCATAATTCCTTATCCGCCTATCAAGTCGAAAAATTTGAATTCAAAATAATGAAATTATTCATGAATACTTTATTTTGAAGTGAAATTGACAGATGAAACTTTCAAGATGGTGACTGGGCGCCATCTGCGTAAAACAAATTATATAGAAAGAAGAGTCTTGTGACACATCTTTTTGAAGCTCCTGACAAATGCTTCACAACCCTAAAACTTTTAATAATATCCTGAATACATTGACATGTAATCACATAATACGAGGTAATAAGCTTGAGGTCCGTTAAGAAGATGCTCAAAACAAAAATCGCTTCAATTATTTATTCCAATGGACGAAAATTTACCATTTTAGGGATTATTGACATGGTACTTTTCTGCAAATAAAACCGAACTCTAAATGAGAATATTCTAACTGAACAATAATGTTCATTGTCGTAGTGACATTTTTTGTCGTTTTTATGAACAAAAAAAAACGTAACAAACCTTATTAGGTTGTTGGAATTGCCATATGGCAGATAAAAAGGAATATTTCTAGAAATATCGATATTAATGTGTTTGTCTTCAGGAAATTATTGAATGTTCCACTATTTTATAGTAGGTGAAGATATTGATCTCATATTCTAGGGTTATGAAGTATTTGTCAGGAGCTTCAAAATGATGTGTCACAAGACCCCTTTCTAAGTATTTGATTTTTTTCCCAGATGGCTACCAGTCGCCATCTTGAAAGTTTCATCTGTCAATTTCACTTCAAAATAAATTATTCATGTATTAATTTCATTAACTCAAATTTCAATTATTTGAGTTGACCCGTTCAAAAAATGAAAGGAGGGGGGAACATTGAAAAAATGCACTGTGTTTATATAAACCGGAAACTTTTGGAGTCGAGTGAGAGGGAAAGCTGAATCTGATATTACAAAAACACTTATTGACATAAAAATACGAATCAATACAGTTTATTGTATGATTTTCACTATAAAAGTGTTTCATAGTAAAAATCATACAATAAACTGTATTGATTAGTTTTTTAATATGGATTTTCATCAAGTATCGGCCAGTTCTATTCAATTACTTATTGAAATAGTGTCACATAGACTCATTTCTCAAGTGGAACTTTCACACCCACGTTTTTTGCAAAGGTAGTAAAAACTTTGTTTCCTACTTGTTTTATGAGGCATTCGATGGGGCAATTTTGCGTTTATCATAGTGATGACAATAATAATATAAATTAATATGAAATAAAAGCCGTAGGTATATTTCGAAATTAACTTTCGAAACATTCATCTCTCCCAAAGTACCTACACCGTGGGTTCTGGTATATGCATGCCGGAAAACAACTACTTTCTCAGGTAATACCACGCTGGACATTGTGTTATATCCAACGGACATTTTTGCAAGATACCTCACAGAGGTTAGTCTTGTAGATGTATCTTGATCACCCAGCAGCAGCAGCACCATGCTGAAATCTCTCGAATAGATCACCTACAGATCGGCTTGGAGGTATTACCAGTCATCATTGCAGAAAAGATCCGACCCAAACAGCAGTGTGCTTGAGACTCCATTAATTTCAACGCGCTCTACTGCATGTATGAAATCTTCGTCTAAGAAAAGATTATCAACTAGTAACAGCTGTATCTCATGAAAAATGCCCCAAATGGACTTCATATATTATACATTTTTAGAATGCATTCACTTCTGTTTCAAATCTCAAGCATTTCTGTTAAAATCACCAAGTTGTTATTATAATTGAAATAATAAAATATAATATTTGAAACATTCTACAACATCGGGAGGGTTACTTATAAACAAGTTCTTGGATGAATTCAAATGAGTTTTTCTACAAATTTTCTGTGATATTTTTCATGGTATTGCTGCAATATGTTCCGGGAAAATTATCCATCAACGTATTTTGAAATGTATCGTTATTATTATTGTTATCATCATAATCATCAAGTAGTCTTACTATGAGATATAACATTGTTATGCGACATATGCACAAGTCAGTAAAACAAAAAGATCAACGCACACCCCTACAAAGGACGTATATGTCGCAGCCAACTGGTTAAAATAGCCGTTCAATCATACAGCTAGCCCTTTGACTGAACAATTAAACAATCGAAATATAAAAAAATCGATTTTAAACAATTAAAAATTAAAATTGAGAAACATATTTTTTCTGAATCATAATCTCTAGACAACAAAATAGCAAAAAAGTATTTTTTTTTCAATTTTCAATTTTTCAATTTTCAATTTTTCAAAGTTCAGAAAAGGGCAAATTTTTAGCCTTCTTTTTCACAAGATGAACTATTTGAAACCACAAGCATTTGTTCACCTAGCGCCGCGGTGGTGAGCACTGAACTAATTCAATTAGACGGCGGCTGTAGTGTTGAACGTTTTGAGCACCTCAAATATTCAATTAAAAAGCTAGCCGAGTGATTGAATGGCGTTGTTCAGTCAAAGAGCTAGCTGTTTGATTGAACGGCTATTTTAACCAGTTGGCTGCGACATATACACACATATCGTTTTTTCAATATTATCAGCCTCAATGTATGTATTTGAGGTAGGAATCACACGTTAAAAGGTAAAACCTCGTTAGTCCTTAGCTCGCACAAGTTTCTCAACTTCTGAGAGTTGTCGTTCATATTAGGGCAACAGCTGATTAACGGAAAAACAGATTTTAAACAGAATAGAACAGATTCGCCTGTTACTTGGCTGTCTTCGATGTCTACCAGACGAACCAATAAACTCGAAAACTATCTCGCATACAAACTTGATCGCTATTTATTGCTATAGCATTTTAGAGTAATTTCATCCTTCTATAATGAAAATAAAAAATAGAATTGGTATTTGAAATGCTTTGTGACAAAAAAACTAGTACTTGGTATATTTTATTAATTATTATTCAGTGCTTATAAAAGCTATTTGAAATTTAGTCGATCATTCCAACTACTTCTCAAAAAGTAACTGAAACAAGCATTCAGTTCATGAAGTTGAGAAATGAAAGTAGTATAATCGAGAAAAGTGATAATTTCACTCTAGAAGAATGATTGCACAAATCTTGATAACAAATCACACAGTGGTTTTTGCGGTAAGTCGTAGCGACTCCTTCAGCCACTTTGTATTGTGGATTGCACTGGAGATCTCGATGTGGTTCACAAGAGCGTTCTGAAATCAGAAAAAATACTTGATATACTCGTGTTGTCATCATTTTGATTTGATGAAAAATGTGATAATTTTTCATGTTCTGTACAATCTTTTGATGATCTAATTCTAGTTAGGACAACAGTTCATGCATAGTTTTCATGAAAAATTTTTCAAAAAACGTATCGATATTATATTAGTGTCCTGAATTCATATGATATATTAAGTGTTGTTGACTTATGAACTGAAATTCATAATAATTTGTTGATATTCGCGATTTAAAAATAAACAAAATATTCATCAATAGTTCACTGACATTTCATGACATTTTTACACGTTCGACAATAAAATTAAAATTCAAAAGGAAAAATTTATGAGTATACAGATTATGAAAGAGAAAATCTTCCTGTTTATCTCCATTAAAAAATATTGACATTCGCATGTGGCGCCATCAATATGACATTAACGTTGTAAATTCGCAATCGATTCCCGTTATTCCCTTTTTTTATAGTAGAGAGAAGAAAACAGTAAAATTGTTATTTTGATATCCATAACTCATTCTTATTATACTCATCTGAGCATTTTAAGTAAAACTGAAAATGTTTTATTTATTTCAAAAACATATCTACATGATCATTTTCATTTATGTAAAAATCCATTTGTTTATGGTTCATTGAATAAACAAATGAAAAATTGGCGGAATTAATATTTTTTCATGAATATAAAAAAGCAACGGAATAATACTTATAAAATTATTTCCCAATATTAATATTTCCTGGCAAAAATTAATAACTAATTGATAAATACATTTTCGGGCAAAAGACGGTTGAAGGCAATATGGATCCCTGGGGAACACCAGCGTTGATGGTGAAAATATTCGAGAGATATCCATCGACGGCTACTTGCAGGGAACGTTCTTTCAGTATTCATACTAACTAAAGTTTACCCAATCAGTGCTTTATATAAATAAACGATTTGAATAACATGACTTTCTACTCACTCAATGACTGTGTTAAACTAATTATGAATTTAAACGAATTAATTTCACAAATTCATAAAGAAAATTTCCTGAGTTTACACATCGACCAAATAACAATTCCAATAGTGGTAAACAGAAGAATAATTTCTCTTTTATCATTCAGTAAATATTCGGAATTCTTGAATATATTGATTTTCAATCAGTCCAGAATATTGAGTTTCAAACCTTCCTCTTATAAATATAACAGATCGTAGTAGTGATTGAACTCATGCCAATGGATGGTTGACAAACACCTGAAAAAATCTGTAAAAAGCTGCCTATTCTTTAACATATTTATCGTTTTTACCTTTCTTATCGAAAAAATAACGTAGTATATAAAGTGAAGACTCAAACTGGTGCGATGAAACGTCATTCTTGATATCAGTTTGGCCATCAAAAATATTTATGAATTTCATTGAGTAAATAATATGTTTTCACAAAGTAATAACCTGATTACTTACTGTGGACCGAAAATTGTCAATCAAGCTCCCATTGAACTAAGAAATATAAAACATAATAATGAACGCAAAAAACAATTAGATCCTTCGTTGATCACAACTTTGATTTCTTAAAAGAAATATTGAAATCCCTTTCGCGTGATTGTCTGGTCCAATCCTCCTGCGGGTTAATCATTGCTTTCTATTAATTTATTTTGATTATAAATTTTCATTTCTTAATGAAAGAAACGAGTAGTTTTTTTTTCTCACTTACATTCATGGTTATGTCCAGATCTGGAAAAATACGCAACACAATCTTTGCTTAGGCGTTTCCCAAGAACTGAACACCACCACTCATTCATTATTATTATTTTTTTAATTTAGTGTAATTATTGACTATCACTGAGTTTTTTCCCAACACCAAATCGTTATTTTTAACACCTCGACACGTGTTTCGATCACCAAGTGATCATCTTCAAGAAGAATATCAAACTAGAAACTAACGCGAAGCTAACGCTATTTATGCTATACAGGTAAACCCTGCAGGTGTACCACCCATACAGGTATACCAACCTAAATTAATTTTACAATTTTGCCTAATCTATTATTTTTCAATATATGTTCAACTGTTTATAAAACAATTTCAGCTATATAAAATTAATTTCACAAAATTGACTATCTAAATTTATTTTTGCTATGTGTCCTTATGTAGTAATCAGTCAACTCAACAATATTATTTTAACAAGCTATATAGTATGCTATTTGGTATAGGTCCGTCATCGTTATTCATAATATTATTGTGTTTACGTATTTCCACACTCTCATAGGCATCTAGTTGCCTGTTGTTAATGAACTGAAGTCTATGGAATGGTTTTGTTGCAAAATATGATGGGCGACTGCTGACTTTTTAGGTCTTCCATATTTCAACAAACTTTATTTGAAAAATATAATCAAAACATGTTTCGCTAGCACAGTAGCTTTCCCTAGTGTATTCATACACTTGGAATAAGTAAGATTCATAAACTTGAGAAAGCTACTGTGCTAGCGAAACACGTTATGATTATATTTTTCAAATAAAGTTTGTGGAGATCAAATCGTGAGGTATAGTTTTTGAAAATGATTATACTTGATGGCAAAAATGATTTCAATAATGTATTTGCCAATAATTTAGTGCAGCTAACTATGAAATTATCAAATGATGAATGAATAAATTTGTCTTTTAACTGTTTGATGAAGGTAAGAAACAGTTTCTCTTTTGTAAATAATTTCGTTCCGCTAAAATTTCGGTAGAAAACTCCTCATTAATTTTAGGTTCGAAATTTGCAAATCATTCCATGCAGTGAGCGACAAAACTATGAAAAAAGGATTTGGATTTACCCAAAAAGTTATTCGCTAGGTGTAAGAAGAATGTATCGGTAGATTTGCTTATTGCCTAGAGACCGTTGGATGGCGGCAGTTTAATCATTTAATTTCACGAAAGCTCGATTCTGTTTGCACAAAAATGTCATTATGGTCAAGCACATCAAATTGTTGAATCTTATAATGATACTGTTCTCTTCACCACGTCAAACTATTGACATCAAATTTTTAGTGTACGCTTCGAATTATCAGCAATGAAAAATAAAAACAAAATTACTTCTGTTAAAATTTATTACTTCCTTCCTTTCTTTGTAAGATTATCACTAGTAGTATAAAGCCAAAAACTTTGTTTTCCAAAAATTAGTCACTCCTAAAAATATAACCCTTTCAATTTAAACAAGTTTCCTTCTGGCTGGGATTTAATAAAATAGGTGAATGAATGTCATTACGATGGCATCGATGACATAAGTAGATCAAACTTGTTCCGTGAAATAAAAAATCGTAATTCATGAATTATTTGTGTGTTTTTTCCTATAGTATTATCAAGATTGGTACTGAAGAGCCCTAAGGCAAGTGTCTTACAGCAAAATATCGATCTCTACCAGTGAGGATGACAATCTTCCATGTGAAATGTTTACCCTTCATTCAGTATATTGCGTAGAGATCCTGTGAATGATATCTGATTTAAATCCATAACGAATGTTGAGAAAAGTGTTTTTTGCATAATTCAATGTTCATATGAAAGAATTTGTTCCGAAAGGATTTTTCTTTCGTGTAATTCGATGTTTAAATGAAAGTTGCTGTTTCAGGAGGGCTTTGTCTTCCAGTTTGTATCTGAAAGTTACTTTGTATGATCTACACATCTATGTATAAAGTCATTTCTTTTAAAATGCATTACGTCCTTCCTTTCTTTGGAAGATTTCCACCTTTTTTTATATCAAGATGGAGTAGTAGAAAGCCAAAAACTCTCTTTCCCAAAAATTTGTCACTCCTAAAAATATAACCCTTTCAATACAAAAATCGGCCTATTTCATATTTCAGGATTTTTATTTTGCAATACTGCACTTTTTTGTGAAATAATGAATCAGTTACATGAATTTGGTCATTGAATAATAATTTCAACAAAGCATTCAGTAAATTACCTTACCTGTATAAATAGTATTAGTCTTCTTAGTTGATTTCTTGACTCCTTTTTTCAAAGAAAGTGTGTATGTTGGAGAAGTCTCTTCTGTAACTGAGAAAGACATAACGCATGAAAATACTGAGAAAAAAAAGTGTTTTCTATATAATTCAGTGTTGGGGAGGACGGGGTTATAGCGCGCATGGGGCAATAACGTTTTAACCCGTTTCTCAGAAAGTATTTAAGGTGGCGTAACGACAGTACTATATGATGATGCAATCGTAGTCAAGATCATCAGTTCTCCGTTATTCAGCCGATCTGTATGAACTTTTATAAAATAAAAATGTTTGAAGGGGTCAAACAAATTGTTAGTATCAATTTTTTTACTCTTGATATTGGTGGAATTGGTGGCATGTCTTTTTTATTTTAGTTTTTCCTGACATGCAATATACTTTTGTTCCTTTGTCCCTTTGATCAGCATGACAAAAAATGTTAAATTTTTAACTTTTTTTTCTTTCAGATGGTTCGCAACCTGCAGGCTTCATGGTCCACAGAAAATTTTGCAGAAATCATAAATGACATAAAATCAAATACTATATCAATCAGACAAGCTTCTTGTGAATACAAAATTCCACAAACAACTTTAAGAGGCCATATAAATAATAGATGAAGAAATTTTTCAGGAATATCTGGTTCTACAAAATAGTTGGGAGGACAGTATTTAGTGAAGAAAAGAATTTGTTAAAACAATACTGTTTCAAACTATCGGAGCTGTACTTTGGGTACTTTGGATCATCAATTGATTACTTCAGACAGGTCAGTCGGTAGCCAGGCAGTTCGACGTGAGTGCTTTGTTCACTCACTCGAATTGACTGCCGTGTTGGTCGGTGTGGTTCAAGCCCTAGTCTGAACGATCGATTTTCACTTGCCATCGACCAACCCGTGTTAGGAATCACACTTTGAAAAGTAAGACCTCGTTAATCCTTAGCTCGCACAAGTTTCGACTTCTGAGGGTTGTCGTTCATAGGGGTGCGACAGCTGGTTAACGAAAAAACAGATTTTAAACAGATTTAAACAGGTTGCATACAGATTTGCTAAGAAGATAGGTGGAGAGAGCAGATTTATCAACAAAAAATGGGAAAAATTGGCTGGCTACGATTTTATTACTACTTTAGAAAAAAACATCCAGATATATCGTTGAGGTAACCTGAAGCAACTAGTTTAAATAGGGTAGTGAGTTTCAACAAACCTGAAGTGGATAAATTTTTTGCAAACTCATCAGCTTTATATGAAAAATATAAATATGGTGCTGCAAATATACATAATGTTGACGAGAGTGGTGTTCACATGGTTCACAAGCCCTCTAAAATATTGGCCAAAAAAGGAGTGAAACAAATTGGTAAAATAACCAGTATTGAAAGAGGATCACCAGTAACAACAATTTGTTGCGTAAGTGCAGCTGGCAATTGTATTCCCCCATTCTCAGTTTTTCTATGAAAATGAATGAATGACCGCTTGATGAAAAATGCTCCACCTGGTTCAAAGGGAGCTTGTAATGATAATGGATGGAGTAATGAAGATATTTTTGTGGACTGGATGAACATTCTATAGGTCATATAAGGCTCTCAGCCTTATATGATCTAAGAAAATGGAATTGATGTGACATCAGTACCGCCACATACATCTCACGAGATACAGCCGCTCGATTTAGTTTTCTTCGGACCATTGAAAACATCTTTCAATAATCAGTGTGATTATAGGCTGAAAAGCAATTGTGGACAACGAATATAAGTGTATCAAATTGCAGAGCTGTTTGGTCAAGCTTATCAAAAAGTTGCCACTGTGGATAAAGGAGTTGAAGGTTTTCAAAGCGCTGGTTTTTATCCTTTTCAACCCACTGTTTTCAATGAAGAAGATTTCGCGCCAGCAAATACACTGATGAAAGCTTCTGTTAATGTAACAATAAGTAATGTGACTGCAGCAAAAAACCGTTGATGAACAGAAACAGGGTGCTACACCCTGCAGATCAACCTCCGCTGCTTCAAGTAGAGAACTGCAAAATAATACAACTCCACCAAAAATGGCAACAATAAATATGTATTATAATGACGCTTTTAGTTTGCCAAAACCACAACCAACTGGTGATAAAAAAAGAAATGTTAGAAAAAACACGATTACATGTTAGTGGAGATCAAAACAAAATTCGCGAAAACAATATTATTTATTACGTTGGAAAAATCTTGACTTACAAAGATGAAAACGATGAATTTGAAATTTCGTTTTTCCAGAAAATTATTAAAATGCATAATACATTCATTTTACCGAATGTATAAGACATTGCACTCATTCCACTAAATAATATTAATATGAAATTACCAGAATGAAATCTGCACATCTATGTATAAAGTTACTTCTTTGAAAGTTGATAACTTCCTTTCTTTCTTCAGAAGATTCTCACATTTTCTATATCAACAGCCAAAAACTTTCTTTCCTAAAAATTAGCCACTACTAAAAATATAACCATTTCAAATTAAACATCTCCCCAAATTTTTGCAGAATCTTTCAACAGGATTTCAATCAAGCATTTTATTTGTCGGTCGGTAGCCAAGCGGTTTGGCGTGGGTGATTTGTTCACTCACTCGAATTGACTGCCGTGTTGGTCGGTGGTTCAAGCCCTAGTCTGAACGATCGATCTTCACTTGCTATCGCCCAACCTGTGTTAGAAATCACACGTTAAAAGGTAAAACCTCGTTAATCCTTAGCTCGCCCAAGTTTCGACTTCTGAGGGTTGTCGTTCGTAGGGGTGCGACAGCTGGTTAACGGAAAAACAGATTTTAAACAAATTTTAAACAGATTTGTGGAAAAGGAATCTGAGCGGTATTCCAATTTTGTTTCAAATTCAATAAAAAGTCTACTGGATGGAGGTCTGTTGAATCAATCTTAAAAACTTTGCTGTCTTCATTACATAAAAATGTTCATTACCTTGTTCACTTTGTGAATTTCTAACCTCAAAATTTTCTTGATCCTGTTCATAATTTACATTATTCACAACATTATTTCTCAGAAAAGAACTATTGTGTGAAAAATTATAACTTTTCTTTGAAATGTTAGCATTGTTTAAGTTATTGTTTGCAATTTTTGTACCAAGTTCAACAAATATACAACTTCTGCTGCTATTCGGGATACATCATCTTCATGTAACATGGAAAAACTGATGGAGGATGAATAGGCGTCATACCCACAGGGAGAGGAGGCAGGTTAAAGTTCATGCTGGACCTCACTTCGTGTGGCCTAACTTGGTCGGAATTAGGAAAATATCATGTCGCTACTTCACCTGATTCTTCAGTATTAATGTTGACTTCACAATGGGGTAACCCAGGAGTTCCATTAGTGGTCATCCGAGGAACTTGATTTTCGCCAGCTATACCCTGGTAACATTTTCTCAAATTATATGGGAATATAATTTGAGAAGAGATTTTATTCCCAGTCAGTTGGATCGTATGACAGAAATTTGTTAAAGATACGAGTAAGTTTCTAGAGAATGAATATAAATAATGTTTCTTACTTCTTGATATATTACATGCCTAGACCAGGCAGAAAAGTTCAAATTAATTCCCTTTTTCAATACCGCTAAGGTTCCAATTCGCAAAATCCGCTTCTCAAATTATATGGGAATATAATTTGAGAAGAGATTTTATTCCCAGTCAGTTGGATCGTATGACATAAATTTGTTAAAGATACGAGTAAGTTTCTAGAGAATGAATATAAATAATGTTTCTTACTTCTTGATATATTACATGCCTAGACGAGGCAAAGAAGTTCAAATTAATTCCCTTTTTCAATACCGCTAAGGTTCCAATTCGCAAAATCCGCTACGAAAAATTTAGCTTCAGATGGATCATATAGTGCTGAACTTTTTACCATTATACTTTTTTTAAATAAAGAAATACATACATAAAAATTGAGTTTGAATTATACCAAGAGAGCTACTTACAGCGCCATCTACCAGCGAATAGATCAAGCACTTATGTCGGTAATTCTGCCGATATAGATCTCGAGCATTTAAACGTGAATGAAATATGAAATAAAAAATAGGTTAAAAGATGTAAACATGGTACAAGGGGTATAAATACAAGATGACAAATGAAAACAAACATATTCGTATTAGGTACATTAGGAGCGGTAGCAAAGGTACGCTACACACTACATCTCTCTTTTCGAGCCTTGATGTTCGCCCTTCCAACTAGGAGCTTTTTGTTGAGCCCCGTTGAACATTTCCTTGCTTCACATTTTTTCATTTTATTATCTAGTAGCGATCCGAACTGGCTCTGTACAGGTAACAAATACATGTGCCTACATTTTTTTCTGTCATAGGGTCACATCAGCACCTCCATGAAAAAATTGTTTCCTAAGAGCGTACTTATGAGGATATGATTACTGGAAGTTTCGCCATCTTGAAACTTCTAAACATTTTGGAATCTTGTGGAATGTCTAGAAATCCCCTGTGAATCCCCTGAAGTCTCCAGATCATTATGGAATGATCAAGGGAGTTATTTTGTATTTTGCTTTTTATCCGAAATTAATAGTACAGAACATTCTAGAGCATATCTCGAAGCATTCTGTGATGAGGTGAAATGATTGTTAATAATACGGAACATCCGGTGATATCCCAGAAGATTCTAGGTCATTGTGAAACGATTAAGGAATCTATTTGTTGTGGAAGCCCTTCAACCCAAAATATAAAAATATTCACGTTTCTACCTGAAAGACGTGTTTTCGAAAATATATGGGCTAGAATATCTACCTTTTATAAAAGTCCAGAACATTGAGAGCATTGCACAACATTAGAAGTAAGTGGTATATAATATGATGGTAGTTGGGCAGTTTTCCGTTGGTTTTTACAAGATAGCAGGAAACACAGAGGAGTGCGGATGACGAATACTTAAATTTTTTATTCTTCAATCGTCTCAAATGACATCGAGAAAAAAGTCTTCATTTCGTTTGATGTAGCTGTTGCATCATACGTGGTGACTATTTAGTGAATTTGGAGTTTTTATTGTGTTCAGTACCTATCGATGAAATACTATTTTCATCCTCTGGAACGAACTGACTGG